ACACATATTCATACGCATGGCGTGACCAATACGTAGAGTAGGCATGCACATTATCCGGATATAATATACAACATAGACCTCCACTGGCATGTCGATCATAACTTTGTTGTTGTTTTTTCTGGCGTTTTACCAGTTGTTCCCGCACCTTATCAAATGCTTCAGCCTTGAGTAATGGTAATGACGTCGGTATTGTAGTTTTCAATCTTCTTCCAAGGAACATTTGAGCTGGTGAAAGTCCAACTTCATCAATATTAGAGTTCCGATATTCTAATAAGGCCAGATATGGGTCATTTGATTTCTTCAGTAAGCGTTTGACGGTTTGAACCGTTCTCTCAGCTTGCCCATTTGACTGTGGATAATGTGGACTTGAAGTAGTATGTTCAAACTGGTACTGCTGTGAGAACTGTTTAAATTCAAAGCTAGCAAATTGGGGTCCATTGTCACTGATTACTAAATCAGGTATACCATACTTTGCTATTTGACTTTTCATGTGACTGATGACACACTTTGCGGTAGTAGATTCAAGTCTCACAATTTCTGGCCATTTTGAAAAATAATCCACGGTCATTAGGTACGATTCATTATTGTAGTCAAACAGGTCCACACCTATTTTAGACCATGGCCTAATGGGCAACTCTGTCGCGATCATTGGCTCCTTATGGTTTGCGTTATTATGCTTGGCACATATCTCACATGAGTTGACTCGGTCCTCAATGTCTCGTGACATGCCTAGCCAGAAGAGTATGTCCCTTGCTCTGTTCTTACATTTCACTACACCAAGATGAGAAGAGTGAATAAGGTCCAACATTTCTTTTTTCATAGACCTGGGCACTACGAGTTTATGAGATTTGTACATGAGCCCATCAATGCACGATATTTCATCGCAAAAGGTCCAATATGAACGTAGCTCAGCTGGTACGTCCACCTTGTTGTCTGGCCATCCGTACAGAACAATATCCTGTAACTTCTGTAACTCATCATCTGTAGCTGTAGCCTCTTTGAGTTGTTTGTATTTCTCTGGTGAAACAGGTAAATATGCAGTCAGATGAATTTCATTAACCTGTAAGTCTGGAACCAAAACTTCTTTTGTTTCTTTCAAGTATGCACGACTCAGATGGTCTGCTAAAAACATGAGCTTTCCTGGCTTGTAAACGACTTCCACATCATAACGTTGCATAGCTAATAACAATCTCTGTAACCTCGGAGGTGTTTGTAGAATTGGTTTTTTGAATATTGCCTGTAGGGGTCTGTGGTCTGACTCCACGGTAACTTGTCGCCCATACACGTATTCATGAAATTTCTCGCAACCAAACAGAATTGCCAACGTTTCTTTTTCTATTTGTGAGTATTTTTGCTGTGTAGTGGTGAGTGCCCTCGAGGCATATGCGACCGGTTTTTCCTCTTGTACCAGAACAGCACCTAGCCCTTTGCTACTGGCATCCACTGAGAGGGTAAGTGGTTTACTGCTATCATAGAACTGTAGTACAGGTGCAGCTGAAACAATCTGTATTAGAGTTTGAAACGCTTCTTCCTGTTGTTTCTCCCAATGCCATTCAGTCTTTTTCTCAAGAAGACTTCGTAGTGGTGCACTGACCTCTGCTAGTCTTGGTAAAAACTTATGTAGGTACTGCACGAAACCCATTAGGGTTTGGAGCTCTTTTACATTGATTGGTTTCTCCATATTTTGTACTGCTCTCACCTTCTCGGGGTCAGGTTTCACCCCATTCTTAGTCAATAAATGTCCCACATAGGTGACCTCTGTCTGACCTATTACACACTTGTCTTGGCCAAGTTTTACATTGTACTCATGTGCCCGTTCCAGCACTCTCTGTAGCCTGTGATCATGTTCCTCTTTGGTGGTTCCCCATTGTTCCGTCTAACCCTAAACACAACAAGCACCTGGTGCTAGGTTTGTAGAGGTTTATTGACAGATAGTATATACATGTAGTAAAACCTGATATTACAAACAAAGGCAAGATTCAGTCTAATGTACAGATATTGACTCAATTTGTTCCGAACAAACATCTACATTGTATTTATAGTTGCAATTTTTGGCCCTGACTAGTAATCTTGAGTGAATAAATGACCAATCTACCAAGAAAATAGGACACCGGAACTTAATTACCTTGAAAATATTGTCTCACATACACTCGTACAGAAATACCCAAATTACAGGTGTATTCATACTAAAAACATCACAAATTATCTGATTATTCTTAAATTTAAACAATACTATCAGAGTAGGGAACATATCACTGAATTATGCAATAAACATTCACATATGAGCTTCAGTAAGTCAAAAAATAGCCATCTATACATTTAAGCCAGTCTACAGGCGAAAACCTGTCTATAACGACCACCTCTGTAAAGCGGCCACCTGTCTATGAGGACCACCTGTCTTATAAGGAACTCCTGTCCACAAAGACCAACTGCCCTAGGAGACTGATCTTTATGGGAGCCAGAGAGGTTTTAATAGACAGGTTGACAATACATAAATCTGAGTACAGCTAACCAAATCGAAACCATGTGCAAATATGAACACATCAAATAGATCTAGGTATCTATTATGTAAATAAACTGTGAATAGTTGTGATAATGACTAGAAATTCACTTGATTGTATCCATACAATTACCTGTGTATGAGGAAACTAAACTTCTACCAATAAAAAGACTTAGTTACAGTAAGGGGGAATTGACGGCCATATTTACCGCCAAATCTAAACAACACCTATTTTGTTTACATCTCTATAAATACATATTGCAGCATACAAATGGTTTCATCAAGGTTCTAGCACTCTGCTTACATAAAATAAACACTTACGACGTGTGGGGCTTTATGATAGCTCACTCGACTTGACATCTTTGATTAAACGATGCTGAAAAGGCTGCTCTCATGACCATGCCGTTTCTCTCAGACGGAAAATAAGAGAAGACACACAAGGGCAGTAACTCTAAATTACTCTTGCTGATTACTAGCGATCAGCGGCTAAGGGGAGAGAACTCCTGGTTCCATCACACCCATACCAATATATCATCAACTATGGCTTCTGTCCCTTCAAGGTCTGATACCATTTCTGTTATTACCCGTTGAAATACTTCGGGGGCTGACTTGACTCCAAAGGGCAGCCGGGTGAACCGGTACCTTCCAAATGGAGAGTTAAAGGTACACAACTTTGAGCTGTACTCGTCCAATTTTAACTGCCAAAATCCTGAAGTAAGATCTAATTTACTGAAAATCTTAGCTCCGGGCATCCTTGAAACCACCTCCTCAATAGTTTTGAGTGGAAAATGTTCTCGTTGTATAGCTCTATTCAGATCACACGGGTCAATACATAACCTCAGTTTCCCATTAGGTTTCAGGACTGTCACAAGGGAGTTAACCCATTCAGTGGGTTCTTCCTGTTTTAATATAACTCCCAGGTTCTCCATGCGGTCCAGTTCATCTTTGACTTTATCTCTTAGCGATATAGGTACTCTCCTTGGGGGGTGTACTACTGGCGTAACAGATTTATCAAGCTTAATGGAGTGCTCTCCTGGCAAGCATCCTAGTCCTGAGAATAGGTCCTCGAATCCTTCATCAATCCCTGCGGGTACTTTTCCTGCTGAAGTTTGTATTGAGTGTATCCGTTTAATGAGACCTAGTTCCTGGCAAGTAGAAGCTCCTAATACTGCTTGAGCGTTCATGTCAACAACATAGAACTGTACTTTCTGTTCAGGCTTGTTTTTATAGGAACACATATGTGTTGTTCCGATACACTTTATCTGATGCCCTGAATATGAACGTAGCAGTGTTTTACATGGCTGTAGTTGCTTGTTGCTCAACTTTTCATACAGTCTCCTCGACAACACATTACATTTGGCCCCTGTATCTAACTGAAATGTTACTGGGTGTTCGTTGACAACTACAGTTTCTACCCACTCTGAATTCTCGACATTGTTTACATCCAGACTTTCACTTATCATTCCGACGAAAAGTTCATCTTCTGTATCAATTTCAACCACATTACAGTTTTTCTGAGGATTGTTCTTACCTTTTGCTAAACATGCAGTAGCGAAGTGGTTCATTTTGCCACATTTCATGCATTTTTTTCCGAATGCAGGGCAATTCCTTGGTGGATGTTGTCTCGCACACTTTCTGCACGTTTTGTCACCATTGCGGTTAGAGTGATCTCCCTTGTATCTGGGCGGCGCGTTCGAGTACTTAGCTGACGGCGCATTCGGTTTACACTTTTGACTCTGGTCTTTCTTGATCGCGTTTACCGATTTTTCCATTTTCTGTAACTGAGCTTTTGACAACTCACAAGTTCTTGCAAAATTTACTGCAGTATCTAAGGTTAAATCTGAACCCTCGTTGATATATTTCTCTCGGACTTTGTGATCCAGCATACCAAATACAATTGCATCACGAATCATATTATCTTTCTCCTGATACGCACAGTCTCTGGCCAACAAATGTAAATCTGTAAGAAACTGTTCAAATGTTTCCCCTTCTCGTTGTGTTCTACACTGGAACTTGTATCTAGAGAATATCTTGTTTGTTTTTGGACGAACATGTGCTTCAAACTTTTCAGTTAATGCCGTGAGTGATTTTTTTTCATCATTTGTCAGTGTCCATGTGGTATATATGTCCCTACCTTTGTCTCCTACCCAAATCATGAGGTAGTTGCATCTTTCTTCCACGTTTTTCTTTGAAAGTGGTCCTTTAAACCAAAAGTCAACGTGGTTTTTAAATGTTTCCCATGCCACCACGAGGTCGGGCGCATCCCAATTCATTTTTGGCGTTCCTTGTGTGTTTCCTGTATCCATTTTGATTTCTCTGTATTCTTCTATGTCTCTTTCAACTTTTTACATTGAAATATACTGTTGATCCTTTATCATGTGGACGATGTTGTCCGATTCAGGTTCTGACACCATGTTGTATATTCAAAACGTGATGCCATGCTGACTGCTAGCCAAATTCGTTTATTACCTCTGGAGACCGGAGAGTTCCAGTCATACATTACGTCATACATTACACTCAGCTTTACGCTTATTAGTATATATAAGTAGATCGTTGCAATGTCTTGTATGTTGTTTAGTGGGTGGGACAGGGCCCAGAGAACGACATACACGTGTTCTCACAACTGTAGTAGGAGGGTTCGGAAGAGGAGAGTTAGGCCATACAAAAGACTTCGCGTTGTGTAATTTTAGTTCAATTTCAGAGAAAATAGGCCGAGACAGGTATAATTCGCAACAGAACAATGGCCAACAGTCAACTTCCAAGCACACCTTCAGGTTCTTTATCCTTGATTAGTCGAAGTGTTAGGAAAGACCCACGACAACACAGAAGTTTAGTTCCACAAGTTTATTATGTAGAAATTGATGGAAAATGAGTATTCAGGGAAAAAAAGAATAAACAAAACAAAAATAAACTAACAGAAGTGTAAAGCTTATCAAAAATAAACTGGAGGCAACAGATCAAAAATAAGTCAACCTAAATAAATGTAAAGTGAGGTAGTACTGCAAGGTACACAGTTCCTAGTCCTGGGAAGTTCCCATGGCAACATTCCCTCCCTACACTTCAGACTCTTGCCTATAAATACAACTAGAGGTAGATTTAAATATAAACAATGTCCATTACTGTAATGGACTAGTACTCCTACAGTAACACTAGACAGAACTCTAATGGCCTCCGAGACGGACTAACAACTACCCTCCCACCCAGGGAAAACACTACATGATAACTGTCTATAAATCCTTACATAATGCTCGTGTTAGTAGGCCGTAGCAGTGATAACACCGCTTAGATTAACAAAGCCACTTATAAGTCAGAGTTCATACCAAAGGTTGCTCTGGTTTCAGAGCATAATAACAGGAGTACTCTTATTTCAGAGTATAGAAATAGTCACATGGCCGTAGCCACAAACCAAAAGTGAAAGTACTGCCCTGTTTTCAGAGCATCGTAACCTATGGCCTACCCTAACTCAGAAAGCAATGTCACTCTGTTTTCAGAGCATTTCTCTATTGTTTAAGCCGCTCTGGTCTCAAAGCGTCAACAACGGCTGCTGAAGTCGAACCTAAACCGAGAAGCCCGCACGTGTTTGTCTTTTTATACCCGTAATCACCTGACCCATAGCAATGTATCTAAAACTTAAAAGACTTAGCGATTGGCTCCACCGCTTAAGTCTCAACCAATCACAGCACATATTACGCTGGAGCACGGCACACTTCACAAAATGGCCGACGTAATCAACAAACTAATTTCCTAAATAGACATTCGTCAAAGCAGACAGAATATCACCACTAAACCCTAGGCTGAACTCCCCAAAGTACAACTAACAACGTGACTAAGGGTATGTTAACCTACCAAGAGCCAAAATTACTACTGGGTCACAATAATTATCGCCATTCGTAACGAAGCAGTCCGAATAAAAGACTGTAAAACGACCTATGCCACACAACAACAATTTATTCAAAGATGGCGGATCCGGAATTATGGGTACAATACATAAGGGGAAGTAACTCCTGACTGTCCATAATAAATGACTATAGGTAGCACAACAGTATTGCTACATGTTATTGTTATTTGATTGCTATGTAAAGCTTGACCTGAATGAAATTAGAAATTAAATTTTCAAATTATGAATCCATGCGTTTGCCATTTATCTAATTATAAGACAAGGAAAATTAGCAAACTTTCAAATTTTTTAACAAAACTTGTTAACAGGTATTTACGGTGATAATTTGATGTTTAGTTTAACCATTCTGCCTTAACGAGTGATATATGGCAAGTCTTCACCACTAAGATTAGGAGTGGAAAGGATGGGGGTGTTATTGGAAGGGAATCAGGAGAGGGCTTGCTGCCTTTATTCGATGGCAGGGCATAATCTAGTGGTGCGGCAGAATCTACTTCTTGGGTTGGAGGATCATCTAACACACATGACCTTGGTTTGACCTCTGGTGAGGCAAGTAGGTGACGACGGTTACGCCTGTACTTGACCTGTTTGGGGGTCATAACAGTGTACGATCTATCATCATTTTGTTGAACGACCGTAGCAGGTTCCCAAAGACCAGTAGTTTGCCGAAGGCGGACAGGGTCTCCAATGTCTAAGGGCTTAAGGGGCTGTGCACTCCTATCATAATACTTCTCCCGCAGACGACTTTGTTGTATAGATTCTCCGACCTGTAGTGGGTTTGGGGTTTTGGGTTTCAATGTCTCTTGTGATGCAGGAAGCAATGACCTTAACTTCCGACCCATAAGAAGCTGTGAGGGGCTAAAGCCGATATCGAGAGGGGTTGTCCTATACTCGAGTAGGGCTAGAAGAGGATCATGGCTATCGACCTTGGACTTTGACGAAATCCTTTTGACGGTCTGTACTGTCTTTTCTGCTAGATCATTTGACTGGGGATAGTGTGGACTAGATGTCTCGTGTATAAAATCCCATTGTTTAGCAAATGCAGCAAACTCGTCACACGCATACTGTGGACCGTTGTCCGAGATAACCTTTTCAGGTATGCCATTTCGCGAAAATGAGCTCTTAAGCTTTGAAATGACAGCATGACTTTTGGTACTCAGCAGTCTTTCAACCTCAACATAGCGGCTATAGTAATCGACTATTACTATGAAGTTTTGTTCATTCCAGCTGAAAAGGTCTGTGGCAACTGTTTGCCAAGGGTATTGCGGAACTTCACGCAGAAGTAACGGTTCCTTCGGATTCTCGTTCCGTCTTTCTAAGCATATAGGACATTTTAAGACAATTTCAGTAATATCAGACGACATTCCCGGCCAAAACAGGATGTCTCTGGCGCGTTTGAGACACTTCTCAACACCCATGTGTCCATGTTGGATTTTCTCCATCATTTGCTCTCTAAGCACCTTAGGGACAATGATTTTCTGACCTTTCATAATCAGCCCATTAGCAACAGAGAGTTCTTCTCTGTAGTTCCAAAAGTCTAGAGCCAGAGGGGGGCACTCCCTTCTATTTTCTGGCCATCCCTCTTAAGATTACATTCTTAAGGGCATTCATTTGGGAATCCAGCTCACTCGCTGACTGGATTTCCTTGAGTTTCCTGTCACTAATTGGTACCGAGGACAGTATTGTAGGGACATGAGAATCCATTCCCTCTGACAGGGTTGGACATGTATCCGGCAAAAACTTGCACGACAAAGTGTCGGCGACAGGGATACTCTTCCCTGGCAGATGTCGTACAACCAGGTCATAGCGGTTCGATTGTAGCAACATACGCTGAAGTCGCGGTGGGGCAGCATACAAGGGTTTCTTCATAATCGACACCAAGGGCTTATGGTCTGTCTGGACCTGGACTGTTCTCCCATAGATATACTGGTGGTATCTTTTACACCCAAACACTATCGCATACATTTCTTTCTCAATCTGAGCGTAGTTGACTTCTGTAGGTGTCGATGACTTTGACGCATAGGCAATAGGCCTTTCATCCTGCAGGAGTGTGGCTCCCAAACCAAATTTGGATGCGTCAACTTGCAACGTATGGGGTTTGACAGGGTCAAAGTAATTCAATACAGGACCAGGAGACTGGGTCAATATATCTTTAACCCTTTTGAAAGCTTCAGCTTGTGGGTAATCCCAAACAAATTCAGTATCTTTTGTAAGAAGTTGCCTCAGAGGGGCAGTAACCTCTGCAAGGTTAGGTGTGAATTTCGCCAGATATGTTATCATACCTAAGACGGTTTCAAGTTCAGCGCAATTACATTGCGCTTCCATATCTCGGATCGCGTTTATCTTGGACGGATCAGGCTTTACACCTTCCCCGGCGAGAATTTCATGAATTATTCATGAACTATTCATGAACTGCTCATGAACAGTTCCATGAACGTGAAATGGCCACTTTGTTCATTCATGAAGAAAACTGTTCATGAACAATTTCATGAACTAAGCGTGAACTGTGCATGAACCTTTCGTGAACTGTGCATGAACCTTTCATGAACTGTTCCTGAGCAGACCATGGACAATTCATGAACTGGTTATGGACACATGAACCATAAATGTAGAAAGCTTACAATGTTTCAAGAACTGAATGGAAAAAGGTAAAAATGGATCAAAAACTGACAGAAATTTAATGATATTCATCGTGCAACAACAAAGTCTTTTCATCTTTGTGTACAAAAAGTTTCATTTTTCAATAGCATAAAAATAAGTTTTACTGCCATATTAGGGCAGTCCGACTATTAATATTACATTGATAGCATTACATTTAACAACTTATATCAATTTAAAATATATTTGATCCACATACATACACATTTTAACATACAAGATAATAATAACAATCTGTGATTTGTTGCGAGTATGTTAAGAGTTTAGTAACACATGAAATCACAATGAGGATTATTGACAGAATTTGTCATCATTTAAGTAAAACATTTATGAGCAATATGAAGTTTCTTATGGCACAGAATCAGCCACTGAAATGGAAGTTTGTCCAGTTTTTCCCCTCAAAATTTTAGTACACACATTTAAATACAATTTGAAATTACTTATGTACTTACAGAATTTGTCAAAATTAAGTATATTTGTTGGCACAGAATCTGATATCAGTTAAAATACAAATGCACTGCTGCTTATTGCTTAGCTGCTCCTCTTCGCAAAACTTTCTGGATGTTTTCAAATTTTTTGTTGAATGTCTCATGAGACATCCCTTTACTTATCATCACTTTCTCTAAAACAGAAAGTGACTTTTGGCACAAGGCTGGCCTTGGCTGGTTTTCATATTTTGCAGTTTTTTCCCCTGTCCTTGAACAGTTAATAAGCTGTTCCTTACTAAACACTGTAAGACAAGCAGTTTTCATTTGTTGATTGCAGTCTTCCAAGTGGGAGATTTTGCTTAAGACTCCTGATTCCTCTGGTATAGAAGATGCTAATATTGTTGCTGGTGTTGATGGCGGGGCTGATGTTGAAGGAAGGGCAGATGTTGATGGAGGGGCTGATGTTGATGGCGAGGCTGATGTAGAAACTGCCAATATTGACACAGTAGCTGAATTAGAGCTACTCAATCCAGTCAGCACCTGGTTGAGCTTCTCCATTTTTCGTACTTTTTTTCTAAGATGGCCTACCTCTTCCTCCAACTTCCGAATGCGCTTGTCCCTGTCATAACGAATGGCACTTTGGTACATGTATATATTATCAAAGCTAATGTTGTAAGCATTAAACAGTAAAAAAAAAGTAGTTGTCGAAATAAAAAGTTTTGATGTATAACAATACTGAATGTTATGTCATTCCTTGACATTTAGCTGCAAGGTATTCAATCCAATTTTCAGTGATCAAAATAATATAACTACAGGCCTGATTATTTAGCTGATTTATGAGCCTGAAATTTGTCAAGTATTTTTGAAAGAACAATTTACCTAGATCTTGGCTTGTATTGAAACAAAAAAGACTTTATTTACAGCATTTAAATAATTACCTTGCATTGACCTTTGAAACCGAGTCCAGACTACTCATTCCCAAACCAGTTATTGGTCTACAAGTTGGAGTTTCTGTGCCACCTAAACATGAAAATAATCGATTTAGTATATTTAGTACCAATGACAAAAGAAAAATCTAGTTTTCATCTGTGAAAGTTTCAACAACAACAAAATTTCCAACATGATTTAAGGTTCTACACAGAGACCAAGTGATAATCATGTATCTAGACATTTACGATAATTTGCATTTGTCACAATAACAAATTAAACTATTAATTTGTCAAATTTCATCGGATTAAATTACCAGAAATTTCACTTTTCTTCGGTGTTGTCATCTTTTTCTTTGGACTTATTACAGGATATACAAGAAAAAAAGATCATTCATAAACAGGGGTACTTTGCATGTATTCCCTCCCAATTTTGAGTACCTGGACCATGCCATATGAAGTAGTTAGCAGAAGGTTTTAGAACAGGGCCTGTATTACTCATCTGGGTATTAAAAGCCCAGCAATGGTATATGCCAATAGGTTTGGATATATTTCAACTATTTCAAAATCACAGGTCAATCACTGAACCTCTTTGGGTTTGGTAAGACCAATGGGTAAATTTTTATGTTATAATTGTCTTTGTCTTTTGTTTCAAATATAATAAAAAAAAACTACCAGGGGTAAGTCTCCAGGGGTGGGGCCCAGACCCCTGGGCCAATTCTAACATCACACCTGTGCTTATCTCAACATGCCCTTTATGGCAATATATGATTATGGGGTGGCAATCGCAACTACTTCAAAGTTATAACCAAGACACTAAGTCCCAGTGGGTGGGGCTAGCCCCCTGGGTCCATTCTTACATCATGGTTGTGTTTAGATATAACTACTTACGAAAGAATTTGTCGTGATCACTATTGCCAAATGGACCCCTTTAAATTTAGGCCCGATCCCTCAGGCCCCTTGGAGGTCAGCCCAAGCATCTGTATAAATTTGATATCTAAGCCACCTACTCACGTCCTTTGGACCAGGTGAGCTAATAATTTATATGAATATTAAATCATTTTTGCAAATTTTTATGGGGAAACTACTTACTGGATGCACATATCTTCTTTGGTGTTGTCACAGCCCTTTTCTTTGGTTCATTGCTCTTTTTCTTGTCAGGGGAGTCTAAACTCTCAGACTATAAGAAATTAGAATTAAAACATTTAAAAGTAATATTTTTAAAATGATATAGAAAGGACTACATTTCCCTCTTAAATCCCACAAGTTCTGTATGGATATTCTAAAACATTTGAGTGTAATATGTCACAGTCCAAGATTTTAATAATTTCGTGAAACTAATTAAAAATCCAGGATTTGACTTTGCAGGACAGCAGTCAACATATGATAGCATCAGTAAACATTAGTGTCACACGCAGGTAGACCTTAGTGGGTTACCTTCATCACACAACAGGAAGAAGTTGATCTCTATGTTTATCTTGCTTATCTTATATGAATAATAGTTTATTTTCGCAAATTTTAAGGGATAGTCATCAGTCTAAGAAATAATAAGAAAGCTTTACTTGGCGCATTTGTCTTCTTTGGTGTTGTCACAGTCCTTTTCTTTGGTTCATTGCTCTTTTCTATGTCAGGGGAGTCTAAACTCTCAGACTCTGATAATTGTAACATTTAAAACTAATTTGTAAGTATTATATATAAAAGTATTCACAAATACATACATGGCAATTCTTTGTAGTAGTGTAAAATGTTTATTATTGTACAAGATTTTAATAATTTCATGAAGCTAATTAAAAAGCCAGGATTTGTCTCAGCAGGACAGCTGTCAACATATGATCTATGAACATATAGTGTCACACCCAGCTAGATCTCAGTGGGATACCTTCATCACACAACAGGAGGAAGTTGACCCAGCATGCTGTCAATATCACACCCACTGTTTGCAAACATGCATTACATCACAAAAGGGAACTGAAACGCGATTAGTTTACCTTTTACTTCAGTTTCTTCTTTAGAGACAGATGGATGTTCTTTGTATCTAAACTTCAGTTTGTTTGCTCTCTGATTGGTTAGAAGGTGTTTCTTGTCCCCTGAAAAAAAAATCAGAAGAAAAACGTATTTTCAATTTTGTTCCGTTTACAGAATTAATAAAGCTCCTAACCACCTGAAATTATCAATCACAATACGCTATAACATGACGCTTCCCAAAGACCAGGGTCAAAGATCAGTAAATATCGTATACAGCCACAATTAAATCATACACTGCACTACAACGTCAACGGAATTATCAACTAGGTACTTCTTTTAAACGGCATCTTCCTCTATCGAAGAATGGGGGAAATTTTGCATCCCAACCTAAAGTTTGTACACATTTTACTTTCTTGTAATAAATGTTGTCGTGGTGTTTTAGATACAAGAAATGTTTGAAAGGCCTGTTGTTCAAAACCTCGTGAATTTTTGTCCAACGATAGGTGCCTTAAT